TTTTCTCCTGTAACTCAGTTTTGTTATTTTGCACAAAAATTAAATGCAAATAAGAGTCTGGCCCTTGGTCGCCCAGTGTGAAATGGAACACGAGAGCAAAAACAAAACTAAACACGATGGTTGTGAAAATCAGTCATGAGCCTGTTGAGAACTGCCTGACAGGAAGTGGTCAAAAGAAAGAAAAAAAATTGACCTTAAAAAAGGTTGCTCCTGCAAGGTGAAAAACCAGATTACTCATTACCAGAGACTTTGTTCAGCTTTTGATTTGTCGGGCTCAGACTAAAGTGTGTTGTGCCTTTTGGTGAGAAGTGCTGACAGACATTTCCACTGCAGCTCAAATTCTCAGCAGAGTCAAAAATCTCTGTTGTTTCTCATTTTGGGGCCTTGTTCAGAAGAGTAAATTAAAAGAGCCTTGGTGTGTCATACTGCAGACAGATACAGTGTTTATCTCTCACCACATCAAGATAAAAACTTTTTAGTTTTGACCACAGAAGAAAGGCACGTGATAACTTGTGGTTAATATCTGTATGTGTAATTACACTGAGGGTTAAATTTTTTTCATACATTAAAACAAGAATATAAAAGTTATTATTACCTTATTAAATAAAAACAATAAAAATAAAAAAAGTCACAATTCTAAATGTCAGCATACACTGTAATGCACTATTTTTAAATGTATTGTGTGCTTCTCTTCTTTTACTTAATTTTACATATTGTTTTTCTGTTGCAGGATATTCATAGAAAACTATAAGTTATTTATCATTAAGTTTCTTTAAAGGAGAATGATTGAAACTTTTTTGTTGTTATGATTGAGCCTACAAACCTTTTTTTCTTTTTTATCATTAAGTTGCAGCAGTTGGAATGAAATACAGATTTATTTTACATGTAACAACTCTTTTCACAAATCATGCCTTTTGTGGCAGGAGAATACGGCTTGTCATGTCTCAAAAATCAAAACCGAAGAGTAGTCTGTGAAAAAAGATACATACAGAGCTGGTTTCATGGCACAAATTCTGGCTAGACCACATGGGTTCATATCTCCAACTATTTGATGAGTTTTTTATTGAGGAGGTTTTGCAGGGTGCTGCTCTTGGGGGGAGGCTTTGGTAAACTCCAAGACTCCAAGAGTTTTACTTAAAACTTCCACATTAGGACAGCGCAAGTTGATTTGAGCAGCACCATTTATACAGGCGGTTCAAAGTGCTTTAAAAGTGCATTTCAATTACATTAAAAGAAAAAATTACAATAATAAAAAGAAGATCAATTTAAAAATTACATTTCACTTCCATGAAAAGCTGTAACTGATGAAGACCTTTCAGGGTCTTATACAAAGAATACAAGGTTTTTAAAATCCAACTGGGGCCAGTCAGTGTTGGACTGGGACAATAATCCAGGCTGGAAATTTGATACCATCCAAGGTGACCACCACCCAATTCACGTAAACCACAAAGACTAAGTTGAGCGCACTTTGAATGCATGGCAGGGGCAGTTCTAGGATCTGACGTTTAGGGTGGCTTAGCCCTCAGTAGCTATGTTTACATGCACAAAATTCTTTTATCGGATTGAAATATATTCGGATTAAATATTCTAAATGTGTCGTTTACATGGGCACAATCCGTTCATGACGAGCATTTACATCCAGCGGGCTTTTATTCAGAATGCGCAGAGTGATAAACTTTCCTTAAAAAAAAACACAGAAGAAGTTCTACTTCCATGATGAATGTAAACAAACCTGAGAGCCCAAAATGGACCTGCAACAGGTTTTAATGATGGTGGAGACATTTCCCTGATTGAGCTACAGATAATACAGATCATTTTGAGCTCTTTCAAAGTTTTTAGTAGAAATGTTGTGTAGCTCGCAGACCAATTTTGCTTCCCCGACATATTAGCATCTAGCCAGGCAGAAATACGTGAGGTTGACATAGGTCGCACATGCGCAGTCGGGTCAGTTTTCCACGATCAGAATAAAATGATCAGATTAAGTGGTTACATGCACACCATTCAGATTATGAATCTGCATAAACCACCCCTCTCATTTGGATTACAAATTCATTTGGATCGAGCTGAATCAGCTCAGAATAATTCAAATAGGGCGTTTACATGACACATTTTTATTCTGAATGGCTGTTTAATCTGATTGTTTATGTCCATGTAAACATAGCTAGTGTTGACAATGGCTCTTGGCTTGAACAGCGTAATGGCCATTAGTGTCAGAAGCATTTGTAAAGGGGGTGGGGGACATTGGTGGTGGTGGTGGTGGTGGTGGGGGGGGTCTGGGGGTCCTACCTCAGAAAAGTAAATGCCATTTCCTGCATTCTGATGTATTTTAATGAGTTTTTAAACATCTATGTTTACCTACATTGCACTTCATTCACTATGCACCACAAGAAGTAGAGCTAAGCTAGCAGTGTGCAATACAGATGCACTAGCTAAGATACAGGCACAGCGCTCAGCTGTACATAAGCCTAATAAACGCTTTGTACAAAATCACTTTAGTGTTAACTGATCATAATAAACAAAGACTAAATTCATGCAATCGGAAGTTGCAACATATCAACATTTAAAACACACAAAACAAAGCACAACTAGCTTTAAGCATTAACCTTTAAATTACAATTATGACAAAAAATGAAGGATTTACTGGCATTTACCTTCGTACAGACAAACATGTGTGGTACTTCCTGTTTATCATTGTTGTATTCAGGTGCTAATAGCTGTTGGTCAGGCTATTCTTGTTAACTCTAAAATAGTTATTGAATAGTTTACGTATGTAGGTAAAACTATGATAAACAAGCCATTAAAACCAGATATACCAGAATACAGGAAATGGCATCTATTTTATTCAAAATTTTCTGGGGGAGGACCCCCAGACCCCCCCCCCCCCCCCCCCCCCCCCCCCCCACAAACACACACATACACACACATTACAAATGCTTCTGACACCAGACGCCTCCGCATTGTTCAAGCCAAGAGCCATTGCCAGCATTGGGGGTTAAGCAGCTCCATAAAGGCATCTTCTGGAATTGCCTCTGATGTAAGTTATAATACATTATTTTAATAATGATAGGTTTTGATCTAAAGTAGGCCACTCTGAGGCATGAAACTCCAGTGTTGAAAATGAGTCCCACTCCGGCCCCGGCTGGATTGATCGACAGGTGGCGTCGAGGATCCAACTTGTGCAAAGAAGACAAAGAAAAAAAATCATAGATTTTACTGGCCTGTTTAAGAATGTCATCATTTATTCTATTTTGATTCCAAAATTATTCAATATTTTGGTGAGGTTTGAGGAATAAACTTCCTTTTATAATCCTAATGATGTTTTTTTTTCCCCCAGGGGTGATTAGTTAAAATTTAGGGGTGCTTGAGCACATTTATCTGTTTAACTTGTCATTTTATTGTGTTCTAATGGATTTTTTAATTCACTATTGTGTGCCTAGCTTTGTAACTTTATTTTTATACTTTATCTTACTATTTATTACTGATGTTCAGCACTTTGTTTCAGCTGTGGCTGGTGTTAAAGCCCTTCATAAATAAAGTTGATTAATTTTTTTCTGTTTTTCTGCATTGAGATGGAGGAAATGAAGTGTCCAGGGGGCATTCTTACTAGATGCCTGAACCACCTCAACTGGCTCCTTTTGATGTGAAAGAATACCAGATAACTGAACTTCTCACCCTATCTTTAAGGGAGTCCAGCCACCCTGCAGCATAAACTCATTTAGAACATCCTGATGCATGCTCAATAATCCAGGTAGAAAAATGTAAAGAAGTTCAATCTGGTCCTCTGGACATTCAAATTCACATTTTGAATGACCAGAGGACCAGATTGAACTTTTTTAGATAATTTAGAACACATTTTATCCACAGTATCATTATTTTGGTCACCACCCAAAGTTCATCACCATGAGTGTAGGAATGCAGACTGACAAGTAAACAGAGTGCTTCACCTTGCAGCTCAGCTCCTTTTTTATTACAATGGACCAGCCCAGAGTCTGCAATATTTTACTGCGGAAGTTGTGCCAATCTATTCATTGATCTCCTGCTCTATATTTCATAGAGGTAACATGTAACATTAATTATAAGTGGCCCAAGAATGGCGCCTTGAGGAACCCCACGTGACTCCCAAATGAAACACAGTACTCCCTTGTTTGTCTAGTAAGATATGAACCAATTCACAAGTCTCATACAGTCACAGGACTCCGCCTTGACTGGAGTCAACCCAGCTCAAGATTGCGCCCACAGCTAATCAACATTAGCCAGCACAAAAATTGCGACAACTCAGTCAATTCTTTTAGATGTTGAGCTAAAATGTTATGTTGTAGTAGCTGAAAGTAATTGTGCATGCGCGTAGCCAGGGGGGGTTCGGGGGGTTCGAACGAACCGCCCACTTTGCCAATGAAGTCCCACCTACAACTCCCGCGAGATATAGAACTGCGAGGTGAAGACGACGTTCACTCTGTCCTGGCTTGGAAGGCAACACGGTGGATTCAAACGGTAAAATTACATTGTGGTTTTTGTTTATGTTGTTAGAGTTAAGGAGTGGTACTGTGCCTTTAAGAGGATGACGTCTTTCATTCTTCTTCGGTGTTTTTTTTTTTTTTTTGTGTATGTTCGGGCGGGACTCGGGAGTACCGAAGTGTTCGTTCGTGTTTGGGATGAGTTCTGAATAGAAGACTGGACACACACGCTATTCCCCTCTCAGTGTGTTGCTCTTTCTCCACTCACAACCGCCTATTTGGTAACACAGATTTACCTCACACAGCAGTGTTTTAACTAGCTAGCTAATTAGCTTGTTTACACATTTGAAGTTATGTGTACCACCGCCAATGAACCAATCAGAGTAGTCCTACAGGTCCACTTTTTCTTCAAACGAACCGCCCCTCATAAAATCCTGGCTACGCCTATGTTGTGCCACCACATAGACATCTTGAGGTAGACATCTTGTGGTATGAAAATGTGCAGTCTTATTTTTAATGTTTGAATATAACAGTTTCAGCTCCATCATTTTTCAATATAAAACAATGTTTTTTTTTAAACTGTGGTGTGATAAGGCGGAGGGCGATATGCAAGCCTTCGAGAAATGCTAACCCTGTTGTAATTATATATTGTTTTAATCTTTATTGAAAGAATACAAAACAGTACAATAAAATGCAGTATACAGCAATGAAATAACAGCCGTCAGGGGGTTACAAATATTGAGACAATACTTTATAACAACATATTACATAAATACATAGAGAGCACATAAGGTGCAAGTTTTAATGGCCTTTGTATTGGTGGGATATTTAATAGTTTTGATATATTGTTTGACCTCATTTTCAAAAATGGAGATAAGTGTTTTTTTTTTATTAGTGTAACAACATTTGTGAATATGCCATTTGGCTAGGTATATATAATAAGATTAATAATATAGATTTTTTTATATATTTTTTTATCCATTGGTTAATCAATAAAGTCAAACAATACATGTTCAAAGCAAAGGAAAAGATCTTGTTCAATAAAAGTAGAAATCAAAATGCAAATACTTTTCCAAAATTGAGTCGAGAAGGGGCAAGACCAAAATAAATGAAAAACTTTGTTTGGGTTTCCTTCACAAATAGAGCTAATTATATTTATCCTTGTTAAACCGTTGTAAATAGATTTCTGGATGGGTAAAATCTGTGAATAATTTTAAATGATACTTCTCTTACTTTATTATTTATCATGTATCTAGTTGGTAAAGTCCAAATCCTTTCCAATCAAGGTTATTAATAAAGGCGTTCCAATAAGGATTCAAGGATTCAAGGTTCTTTATTTGTCATTCACACCTCATGTGGTACATGTGGTGGAGCGAAATTGTGTACACAGGATCCCAGTTACATCCAACAATAAAATGTAAAAGAAAAACAGTAATAAGATCTAAGATATGAACTAAGAAAAACATCAACTAAATATATATTAAGCACTAATAGCATAAAAACATTACGTCGAACAGCAGCACGAACATGAGTCTGTGTGAGCAGATGTGCACGAATGAACACAGCAACATGATGTGATTTTTTTTTTCACAGTCAAGTCAAGTCAGATTTATTTATAGAGCACATTTAAAACAGAAACTGTTACCAAAGTGCTTAACAAAAATATCACAACAGCAAATAAAAAGTAGCAAGATATATTTACAGCACATGGAATAAAAATATAAAACCAAAAACATAATTAGAAACAATGAAATACTAAATCAGATCACGTTGTGTCAAAAGTCAAGGAAATAATAACAAAAAGCATAAACTCAGTCAGAAACATTGAAATACTAAATCAGATCTGATGACCTTGTGTTAAATAGGAATAATATCAAAAGCATAAACAGAATCAGCATCAGTGATTATCCTGGTTAGATATTCATGAGTCTAACAGCCTCAGGGTAGAAGCTGTTCCTCAGTCTAGTGGTTCTACACTTAATGCTCCTTAACCTCCTTCCTGAGAGGAGCGGGGCAAAAAGTGTGCGTGCTGGGTGAGTGGGGTCCTTCATGATGCAGTTGGCCCTCTTCCTGCATCTAGAGGTGAAGATGTCTGTGATGGTGGGGAGACTGACTCCAACAGACTTCTGTGCAGCCTTCACCACTCTCTGCAAAGCTTTTCTTTCTGCAGCTGTGCAGCCTCCATGCCACATGTTGATGCTGGAGCACAGGTAAGGTACTAGGTACCATATATGGAGTTGACACAACATCTTTCTGAAATAGTGAGCGTATACAATGGTTGCTATTACGAGTTGAAGAGAAGCAGATTTGACCAATTTCAAGTTTGGTTGGATCAAAAGGTAATAGTGTTGGATTCTGTCCTGCTGTATTTCTAAGTAAAATAATTACTCCAGTAGGGATTGCATTTATTACAATATTAAATTTGCTAATAGGGATCATAATGTTATATTTTATGACACATTCTTGATATGACATCAATGATCCATCAGAGTTGGGCAACTGACGAGCTAAAACTATGTTGTGAGTAAACCAGTTAGGGTAAAATAAGGATTTGTTTTTATGTTAGATGCCTTTATTGTTCCAAATATAATATCTGTGTGGGGAGAAATTATGCTTGTAAATCAATGACCAAGAGAGAAGCATCTGTTTATGACAACTGGATAGTTTTGAGGGGACTTTTTCAACATTATAACTGCAAAATAAAAATAAATAATTATGTTAGATATGCTTGCCTATAGTCAAACGGAAACGTGATTTGTGATGACGTAAGTCTGGCGCCACCTAGCGATCAAGTGGCGGCTGTGCAGCGGATGGAGGGTTTGGACGTACACAGCAGAGAGGTCACCACGGTGCTCACCCGCAGGACCTCAAACAGCTCCTCAGTTAGCTGTTTGCTATTTGTCCCTGGGCTTCAGGCTGTTTTTCAAACTTTAAAAGCCCCGTGAACCGCCCCGTCATGCCGGTGTTTTCTTTATAACATCCCTGAAAATGCTCCATGAGTATTGGTCGGTGCTAGAAGATGGCGGAGTCGGATGGTGGCGATTTTGCTCCGAAACATTTGCAGAGCAGGTGGGTGTGCCTGAGCTTCTTCAAGATGTATTTCATTATACCGATGTCTCCGACGCGGCAGCGTCCTCGGCTCTTTAACCACCCCGAGAGGGCGTCTCGCGGCGCTGCTTTTCAACGCAGGAAACACCGAGGCTTGCTTTGTTCAGGCCTCCGGACACCGGGTCAACGTCAGCCTTGAACGGAATATTTCTTTGTTGAACTAAAATAAACTTTTTACAGTAAATTTACCCTTTGTGAGATTAAGATTATGTTTTGTTAGATGCGATAATAAACAACAAAAAATATGTAAAATATGCAAAGTAAGATTATCGGCACGAATAAGGTTGAGTTTCTGCACTGAAATAAGTCATTATTTTTCTTTAATTGTAAATGCAAGATACGTTTAACTGGTTGCTATTATCAGGTAATATAAGTGCATTTGAATATGAGTGTGATACAAATGTTATTTTTTTAATTTTGAAAACTGGAAATCGAGTTAGGATCTTGTGAAATCATTTATTTCCAAAACGACTCCATTGTCATTTACCTCTGTATGGCCTGTTTACTCTCAGATCTTGCATTATAAAATACATTGATCTAACAATACTCTTCCATCCTCTGACCTTCTGTCTTGCAGATGCATTTTCATCTTTACGTGCAGCGATAAAGTGCCCAAAAAGCTTTCTCCTTGTATTTGTGTCCTTGCTATGTATAGACACATTCTCACTAATGTAAAGGCTCTGCACACTAAATGCATTTCCAACTGACTGAATAACAAATTGCGTTAAATGTTCATTTGCTGGTCATCAGATACTCTTCCCCACGCATTGGCACCCTGCATAACACATTTATCCGTGGATAACTTCTAAATATAACGGGAAATGGATTGGATTTTGTGGAAATAAGGGAGAATATATGTCTAGTTTGGTCAGACAAAAAAGAAAATGCGTCATAAAACATGAGTTGTTATGAGAGCTTTCTTTTCTTTCCAGTATGGCTAACAAGAACAGCACCCTGCGCTGTACTTTCTCCGCTCCGACCCACAGTGCCACACTCCTCCAGGGCTTGTCGGTTTTACGGGCTCAAGGTCTGCTGCTTGACGTGGTGCTGGCTGTCAATGAGGAGCACTTCCAGGTCCATAAAGCAGTGCTGGCCGCTTGTAGTGATTATTTCAGGTTAGTCTTCAGCACAAGACCTGAAGATGTCCATTTATATTTTGAACTGGAAGCACTTAGCGCTTTCTCTTCTCAAGAGTAACTGAATTAAATCAATAATACATTAGAAAAGCACTGAATGCTTTCAGCTTGTTGTAAACATGTTTAAGTTTACACTGCTCTGTATTTTATGTTTTAAACAAAATCGACAACACAGAAAAGCAGTACTGAATATAATTTTACATAATACATACAAAGTGTGATTTGTATGAATAGTTTTAAAAAATGGAGACTGAGAAGTAGGGGTGCACGATAAATCGTCCGTCTGATTTATCGGCACCGATTTCCTTAATTTTCGGAAATCGTCCGATACTTACATGAGAAATCGATTTTTACCAATTTTTTTGTTTTTAGTTTTAACAACAATTGTCTGAACTTCATTTATATTTCAGAGCACTACCTCATGGCCAGTTAAAGCAAGTTTGTATTGTTTCTAGGATATTGTTCAAGGGTATGTTTTTCAACAAAATAATATTGGAAAATTGAAGGTGCATTGTCACCTTTTAACACCGGACAGTGTCGATTATAAAACAAAATCGGTATTGGCCAAAATCAGAATCGGCAGGTCAGACTTTTTAGAAATCGGTGATCGGCCAGAAAATTTGCAATCGGTGCACCCCTACTGAGAAGGCTTTAAATCGTCATTTATTAAACAAATAGAAAAATGTGACATAATGCAACACAGAATGCTTATTTGTGGTGCTACAAACATTCTGACATGATCATGAAAGAGAATTTATGTTTTTGTTTTGAAGAAGTTTTCGAAGAGTTGTAAACTAACTAGTCTTTCCATCCTCTTGTGTTTCAGGGCTATGTTTACAGGAGGTATGAGGGAGTCCAACCAAGATACCATTGAGCTGAAGGGTTTGTCTGCTCGAGGGCTGAAACATATCATCGACTTTGCTTACAGTGCAGAAGTCACTTTAGACCTGGACTGCATTCAGGATGTCCTTGGAGCTGCCGTGTTTCTGCAGATGGTTCCTGTCGTGGATCTCTGTGAGGAGTTCCTTAAGTCGGCAATGAGTGTCGAGACCTGCCTGCACATAGGGCAGATGGCCACTACGTTCAGCTTGTCTTCCCTCAAAGAGTCAGTCGATGCCTTCACCTTTCGTCACTTCCTCCAGATCGCAGAGGAGGAGGACTTTCTGCACATTCCCAAGGAGCGCCTCGTCTTCTTCCTTAAAAGCAACAAACTAAAGAACTGTAACGAGATTGACCTCTTCCACGCCGTGATCAGGTGGCTCCGGCACGACGAGTCTCGCCGGGTTCAGGCTAGCAGCGTCCTCTGCCACGTGCGCTTTCCGCTCATGCGCTCCTCGGAGTTGGTGGACAGTGTTCAGACAGTGGACATCATGGTGGAGGACGTGCTGTGTCGTCAGTATCTCCTCGAAGCCTTCAATTATCAGATCCTTCCCTTCCGACAGCATGAAATGCAGTCCCCACGGACGCTCATTCGCTCTGACACTATTTCACTCATCACATTTGGTGGGACACCATACACTGACAACGACCGCACTGTGAGCACCAAGGTGTACTATCTCCCCGATGCCGCTTCCCGCCAGTTCAAAGAGCTAACTGAAATGGAGGCGGGCTGCAGCCATGCTTGTGTTGCTGTACTTGACAACTTTGTGTATGTTGTAGGCGGACAGCACTTACAATACCGCAGTGGGGAGGGGGCGGTCGACAGCTGCTTCCGCTATGATCCACACCTGAACCAGTGGCTGCGCATCCAATCCATGCAGGAGGCCCGCATCCAGTTTCAGCTCAATGTGCTGCAGGGACAACTTTATGTCACAGGAGGGCGCAATCGTTCAGGCAGCCTGTCATCTGTGGAGCGCTACTGTCCAAGAAAGAACGAGTGGTTTTACGTTGAACCGTTAAAACGCAGGATTTGGGGTCACGCTGGTACTTCCTGTGGAGAAAAGCTGTACATCTCAGGAGGTTACGGCATCGCGTTAGACGACAAGAAAACACTTCACTGCTACGACCCAACATCAGATCAATGGGATTTTAAAGCCCCCATGAATGAACCTAGAGTGCTGCACACCATGATCAGCACCCCACGTCGTGTTTACGCTCTGGGCGGTCGAATGGACCACGTGGATCGCTGTTTTGACGTGCTGGCAGTTGAGTATTACATTCCAGAAAACGACCAGTGGACTACCGTCAGTCCTATGAGAGCAGGGCAGTCCGAGGCGGGCTGCTGCTTACTGGACACAAAGATTTATATCATAGGAGGCTACAACTGGCACCTGAATAATGTCACAAGCATTGTCCAGGTGTACAACACAGAGACAGACGAGTGGGAAAGGGATTTGCACTTTCCAGAATCATTTGCTGGCATTGCTTGTACACCAGTTATACTTCCTCAAAATACCATACAACGTTAAGCATCTGACCTTCACTGTGAAAACTTTGATTCCAGCTGCTCTTTGTGAGCCGACCATTGACTCAACTGAAGGTGTGAAAATCATAAATGCATGTTTACGTCCACATGGACAAATGACTCACATTACTCAGTTTTGTTCATTTCCAGCCTTGTTTTGGAACGCATGTGTATTAAGTTTTTTTTTAATGAAAACTGACAGGTTTTTATTTAATGAGTAACTGTTGAGCAGCAAATGGCTATATTTGATTGGAAAAAGTGTTTTTCAGTCTAATTTAAAGCTTGAATGGGTTATTCATCTATTATTGCATAATTTGTAATATTATGGTTTATTGAACCAGAAGTGAACTGGCTCAAGAATGTCTTGTTTATAGCACTTTCTTTTATAAAAGTTAAAAGTTTATCTTTAAGTGTTTTATTTATCAATCAAGGGCTTTTAAGTTATATAGCACAAATGGATTTTGTTCTATCATTTCATCATGGTTAGTGCTTCTTACAGGTTCAGCATATAAAAAAATTAATATCTTGATTTTACCGTTGCTTTTTTAATTTAATTTGTATTATTCACATCGCTAAATTGTACTGTGTATGTCACCACAGATTTATTAATCAATAAGCCACATATCAACACTTAATAACTGCACAAAAAATGAGCATTGAATGTGTTATTGGTTTGAATGAAACATTATGCTGTTAAGAGTTATTTTTAGTCTTGATAATGTCCGTGTTTCTTGAACTGAACACTTGAAACTTTTTTTTTTCTTAAAGTCAAATCAGTGTGGACCTCTTAAGGCAGCTACATAATTAATGTCTGTGTTTTTAATGGAAAATAAGCTTTATTTTGTGTTGAAATTAACCAAAATTTAACATTACTGAACAAAATTTAGAACAAACTTTTAATTTTAATACCTACAAATCCCAAAGGCGTCTTTGCCCCACTTGTGTATTTTTTCCCATTTTCTTTTGTTTTGTTCAGTGTATTTTGTCAAACATTTAATATTTATTTTTGATCAACCTATTGAGGTTTACCTGATGCACATATATTTTTTTCCTTTTGAATATGACCTACATGATGGTGACCATTTTCCTCTTCCAAAATGTTTTTTGTCTGTCTGCCTTTATGTGTCTTGTTCTACCTGTACTATGAAAGCACAATATATTGTTGAAGTGCAATACAACAAAAATCTGTACTCAGTGGGGAATGTATACTATTTGTGTCACTTTATTTTTCATTAAAGGTGTAATATGCTTAAAAATGAAACCTGTTGGAGTGTATTTTTTGTCTTTGTTTGGTGGAATGACATACTTTGAGACTAACGTGCCACATGGGATTAAAAACTATTAACACGTTACAAAAGGCATGACTGTTCAGCAAAGCTTCTGCCTGAAATAGGTTCACCTGTAACAATTGTTATAATCTTAATGTTCTTTTTTTGGTTACATTTTCTAATTAAAGGTGCTACTGAAACAAATTGGTAACTGTGAAGTTTAGGCTCTTGTTTGGGGTGAGGAGGGCTTGCCTTTAATCTGTTGGTATTTTTTCTCACACCTTGAACAATCATTTTGTTTCATGTATAAGCAGAAACCTTGTTTGATGCAAAGACATTTTCAGTTCCCAGAATCTAAAAGGACTTTTTTAAAAAGAGAATGCGTGCATTTCATTAGCGAATTCAGTTAGGATTAGGAAATATTTAAAGTTGTGTTTTTGGCTAAGTATGACGCTCTCTTGCTCGTTGCAAAATTTGCAACAACAAATACATCTATTGTTGCAGTTTTAGAAAAGTTATGTTATTTAATGTTAAAAATGGCAATGCAGGTGTTGTAGTTAACATAAAACGTGCAAAGCTGCACTGTATTTAATTTATCAGGTCACTTTCTACCTGGACAATGTTTTCTGGCTGATGATTTTATTCCACTAGATGTGAATACCCTTTTTATGTATTTCTTTATGCTACTATTTATAACAGGCATCTAGGGCACACGATTCCCCCTGTGGTGAGTCTTATTTTATCTGGAGCTCACCCTGCCTCAAACTCTGGCAACAGTGGGAGCAGAGAGCGGCAACATCAATAGGCACGTTGAGCGGACGTCGTGACGACAACCGCAGGCCCTCGCGCTGCGCGTAGCGTAACATTCCATTGAGAAGAAGAGGGGAAAGATGGCGTCCTCTAATAATCCTCGCAAATTTAGCGAAAAAATCGCTTTGCATAACCAGAAGCAGGCGGAAGAGACGGCCGCCTTCGAGGAGGTGATGAAGGACCTGAACATCACCAGAGCCGCGCGGGTAAGCGCTCTCGCAGCCTGGCTGTTTACATTCGGCGAGCTGCTGTGTGGCACTGCGGAGATACAGAAACATTAGGTTGATAAATTGTTTAAAGTTCTCGTTAACGTCCTCGACTGCAACAGTTCGACATGGACAGGTTTCCAATTATGAACGCGCACGCTTGTGTTTATTTATTATTTATTTTTCGAATACGAGTGCAACGTTAATTAGCTTTTGGCTAGCTCGCTGTGAATATGTGCACCTGTTTCTCGCTCTGCTGTCTGGGTCTGCTCCGAGCTGCCACAGCACGCTGTCGTTTGTTTACGGGCGCACGAATCACTGCATAACATGTATGAGGCAGTCGGCAGCTAGACAGCGAACCCTGACTGAGATCTCTGGCAGGGCTGAGGCAGCTTTGGTTAGCCAATCAAACGTTAACCAGCTTCACAAGCCGTGGATTCCCTCCGCCCCCGGTGTTGTGCTGAGAAAAGTACCCCTGTCCCAGGAAACGCGTTTCAAGGCAGCCGTGTTCCTTTATCATGAGTGAAAGTGATAAATGATATATTTACTATTTTTTTCTCTCTATTTTAACGACTTAGTTATTTGCAATAATTTCATTTTGAGATATAATAATCAAGTGATGTACATTTATTACAGTAAATCGACAAGGGCTGCACAATATTTAGCAAATTTATCATCATTGTAATATCAGTCAATATCAGGGTTGTAAATATATTTCAAGTACCATGCCTTTTTCTTTCTGCATGCTAATAATAGATGCTGGAAAATGCCCCCACAGCTAAACAACATTAGCCAGCACAAAAATGGCTACACGGTTACCAATGGTTAAACTCGAAAATAAACCACAATGGGGAATTTTTCTAAATGTAATTTCAAATTTTCTATTTCAAATGCTTCAAAAATGATGCATAGTTTGTTTTTAATAATTTAATAATATGATAATAATATTCAGTGATTTATTTCATGACCTGGCGACAAGTATGCTTGTTTATTGTTTAAAAACTCAATTCTTGTTTGTCTAGAATTATGACATTGGCCATTTCAGTCCGATATTTTAGAAGGGAAAAGCCTGACCTTTAAAATGAAGCCAAACTTATATGAAGGGATTTCCCAAGGCAGCAGGCAGAGAAAAAAAAGTACAATTTCTTAGGAAATTATTAAGAATACAAGAGAGAGTTATTTCTGAAGATTTACCTGAAAATTACAATTTAAAGTTAGATTAGGACGGATATTTGGTATTTTATGTACTGGGATTGCTAGATGGTGGCTTTATGGACTACTTTTTGTGCAAATCTCCATTTCTTCAAAAATCTATATTTTCACTTATTTTGCTATGCAGCCTGTGCACATTCTGACACATTTTGCCATATCTGTTCAATCCAGTAGACTTTCACTGGTTTAGATGATAGTGATGACTGAAGAGAAAATGTTGATTTATTGCAATTGATACAATCATTGCAACATTAAACAGTAAAGATGGATGGGAAAGGTGAAGCACAAACACCTGTCTCCACCCTCATCTGTCCCACTCTGGGTCCTAGAGCAAGGAAGGCCCTTAACCCACATCATCTTCTCCCCTGGGCACCCTAGATGGCAGCTCCCTGCTCCACACAGTGGTTGTGGTAGCTCGGTGGTCTGCGGTTGCGTCACGAAGGGCATCTAGCATAAAAAACAATTTCCAAGTCTTTGCGTGAGTTAGTTCACTGTGGTGACCCCTGAGGAAGGGAGCAGCCAAAAGAAAAGGAAAGTTTAAAAAAATCACACATTGCGGCTTTTTCTAATATTGTGTAGCCCTACTACACGGAGCTTTTTAGTTGGTCTCGGTAAAGCAAGTGAATTTTGTAGTTGTATGTATTTTTTTTTCCTATAAAAAAATAAGGGGTGTACTTCTGGCACCAAAAATGTCACTCGTGCATATATAACAATAATATTTCATCAATATTCATATGAGCTATATAAATAAAATTGACATTTCAATTATGCCCTTAAGGGTACTGAAAATCGGGAGAACCTACGTGCTTTTGGTTTTGTAGTAACTTTATAAGTGAAAACAAGTGCCTTGAAATGTGCTTCCAGTGATGGGGGTGGTTTTCACAGCAGGGTGTTAATTTATTTAATTTTTTAACTGTTTCATCCATGACAGCTGATCCAAACAATAATAAGATTTACACATATTTTAACTGTAATTCAGTGCCTCATGTTGTTTTTATTTATTTAATTGCATGTAAAGATACACAATTTAAAAAAATCCTTTTTATTTTGTATGTACTATGGATTATTTTTAACTTAAGTAAACTTTAATATAGATAGTTACTTTTCTCCCTCACAATGTAAGAGACTAGTGCACGGGAAAGCCGAGTAAGAAAGTGGTCCATTTCATTATTTTGATGGGAGTCTATTACAAGTCTATTACTTGTCTATTACAAGACCCTGGCAGAAATGGCCATAGACACGAGCCACTTCATTCCTCTCAGCTATAAGCACATGTTTAAAATAAGAAGGTTTAATTGAGCAGGAAGCGCCGCCAACATACAAACTAAATAAATAAACTGACTGAGTCACCTCTTTGAGCCATAATGATGCCAGGAAGTGTTTTTGTTAATTGTTGATTTGTTTGCTGGAAATGATGCACACACATTAGGTTACAGTACACCAGTCTAAGTTGTACTGTTGTTTACTGCAGGAAAAGAAAATAATAAACGACACAGTTTTATGGTGTTTGCCTGATTTCCTTGTGTTGCCATACAGACTTCCATCTGTTACGTTACTTCCGATCATCATCAGTGTGATTGCAGTTGTCCTTGGTGTGCAAGCATTACTGTTGTTTTTAATTACATACATGACTTTGTGGCCAAGTTTTGTATTAAGACACAAAGTTAATGAAACTGCCTTGTGTGTTACATAAAAAAAAGTCAATTTGTAATTACACCAGTCATCAATCAGGTCTCATTCACATCAGCTGGTTTATTATTCAAGTAACTTTTCGTAACATTGTCATTGTCTGCCTCTTCATTGTTCATAAAAGCCTCATTTGACTGCTGTGTCATGTTACATCTTTCAGTTAATAAATTCATTAATCATTGTAGACATCATCATTCATTTTTAGCATTCTTCTTTATGTATCGGATCAGTCATTCTCTCATGCTTTCATGCAATTTTACTTTGCACAGTTGCAGTTACAGAAGACCCAGTATTTGCAACTAGGGCAGAATCGTGGACAGTACTATGGAGGCTCACTGCCCAATGTCAATCAGATTGGAAATGGCAACATTGACCTGCCTTTTCAGGTGAGCCCTTAGCCTCTTGGCAATGGTTTGTTGCAGATCAGTGTATTCCTGTCAGCTGTTGGTGAATGTTGGACACACATGGGTTATAGGTGTTTTAAATATTGTTGAAAATTTAGATCAAAACAGGCTCTATACATTTCTTTAGAGGGTTTGCTGGCTTTTCTTCGGCTGTGATAACAGTAGGACATAGCTGCAAATTCCACCAAGTTTTATTAAGGCTTACTAGTGACAGAAGAGACATTTTACAGGTTTTCCTTTTCTTTAGCATTCTAATTTATTTCTGCAAATTTTAAATTACACCATTGCTTGTCATGGCTTTCCATCTTTAAATACATTTGCCAACTCAAACATCAATATGGGGGGCCCATGGCTTGACTCATTTTGAAGTGAACACATTTGCACCATTTTTCCTAATAATGAGTTTGGCTCTGCGTATTAGTGCTTTTCTAGCCTGATTCATCTGGTGTGTTCACTCTAGAACTCTGTGCTGGATACCAGTCGGACAAATAGACACCACGGGCTGGTGGACCGCGTTTACCGTGACCGGAACCGCATCACATCTCCTCACCGCCGCCCTCTGTCAGTTGACAAACACGGTCGCCAAATATCCTTTCTGATGAACGATGTGCTAATCCTAATGTTTTATGTTGGGTGTTGCTTTGGTGGAATTTTAATAATAATAATAAAAAACAGCTTCATATCTGTTTCTAGAGATTCTCCATCCCAGTATTTTTTTTGTCAGAGTTATGTGATATGACACGTTAGTCAGGGACTATTTTCAGATCAAATCTGACCAGATTGTGACAATTTTTTGTCTTTGAGTTTTTATTTGCATCAGTAGAGGTAAATACAGTTGAAAGAAAAAATGACAGACGAGGAACACTAGTATTAGCTGATTTAAACTACTTTGACTGATCAGGTGTTAGAATAGATCATCCAAGAGAGGAATGAAAATAAAGATTATCAATGATTATTTTTTTTAAATCTCTGCTTTATTACCCTTGACTAGATTCACATTGATAGCTGTCCTTACAGCTCAGTTTACCTCTCCCCACCGCCAGACACTAGCTGGAGAAGGTGAGCCATCTCGTTGGTCCATTTGCCAATACTACAACCAGCGCACACACTTTCCTCACTTCCAAAACTTAAATGAAACAACTTTGAACCGACTGGTTGATATAGAAACGTCAAAGCCCGACAGCCACATACTGAGCAGCATGATGACAAATATGGTTCAGTAACAGCACTATGATCTCCGATGCTTGAAAGTTAGCTGCTAGAACATTTTGCTAACATCTCATCTTTTTTAACACACGCAGGACAAATTCAGACTCCGCCTTACACCAGAGCGCCATGAACCCGAAGCCCCAGGAGATGTTTTCAGGGGGATCACAGGAGCTGCAGCCTAAACGAGGTGAAGAGGCATCCAGTTACAAAGACACAGAGACTCTTTTATTTATTCATGTGCACTGTGCAAATCCAGCCAGCAAACAGTGAATGACATAAAAGGGTTGATGTCACATACAGGCAGATTCTACTGCGTGGTGAAATATTTATAGTGTAAATGGATACTGATCTGCAAAGAAGTGTTTCAGCATGCTAGCCCTGCACTCAGCAGGCCGTGGAGACATTTCTGAATAAAGCTCATTTACCTAGAGAGCATAATCGATAAACAACCGATTATTTATTGATTGTGCCTTTTTTGTGTGATGCTTTAATACAGTGAAGTCAAGATTAGCTGGTTTCCATTCAGTCTGTCTAGTGGTCACCTTGCTATTTTTAGACTTGAAGGAATCTGGTGCACAGCAGTACTATTTTCAGCTTGACTGGCTCAAATATTGATGACTCTTTTCTTTCCAATAATTTGAATTCTTTGTCTTGTGTTTTTCTGATTAGTGCTGCTGCTATCGGTGCCTGGGACAGAAAATTCAGAGTCTGATACAGACAAGGATGCTCAGAAACAGCTGTGGGATGACAAAAAGGTACAAATGAGGGACTGCAAAGTGTACTCATCAGTATGTGAATTGTGGCTCATGTTTACATTATCTTCTCAGGATGACGCATCAAAGCCTAATGCATGTGATGTCCCAGGAATCAAGTGAGGTTTTTTTTGTTTGTTTAAAGTTTAATTATTCATTAAAGTGAAATGTCAATGAAGAATAGCAGCCTGTAGGCAGCAAGGTTGAACAAAGATCGCTGTTTGGTGTACTGCAAAGCATATATCACCAGTTACAGTGGTGATAGACCAAAAGGGATTTATAATTCCCCCCAACATAAGACAAACTATAATGATTTCATCAAATTAATATAACTAACAAGTGGCTGGATGAGGTGTCATTTTCATCTCAACAGAACTAGCACCTGAATTAATAATTTTATTATTCCACTGCATTCAATATTTCACAGTGGTATTGATCACCAGGAAATGCAGTCATCAAAAACAAAAAAAACAACAACAAATAAATAAAAACTGTCGTACGCTTTTCTATTCCATTAGCATTTTTAAATGTAGGTGAATTGGCGTTTTTCAAGATCAGCTCAAACTGCAATCACATATTCTGTAAAGTTTAAAATACATCAATATATACTTTTTTTATATAATCTTTGTCAGAGCACATGATTAGTTTCCTAATTTAGAGAATACTTTAAGATATAATGAAGCTGCAGATTTTTAAAGTACGGTATATCTCAGACAGTTTAGACCATATCAATAACATTTGCCAGCATGTATTTGTTTCTGTTTTCAATTTAGGATTATATAAGACCATAAACACATTTTCAAGGTGGTCAGTTTCTTCAGTTTTGAATTTTATTTATTTATTTGTTGCAGGAGCCAGCACCTAATAATAAATTAGCAAAGGCTTATTTGTTTCTTAGCTTGTAAATGTTTTTTTTTTAACTCCTGAAATCAACCAAGACAATATCATAATTAATTCTGAAATAACATAGCTAAATTGATTGTATTGTTCAGAAGCTTTTTTTTTAATGACTGAACAATTGTTTATTTTCTTTTTTTGTCTGTTTAGTATATTTCCATCACCAGACCAGGAGTTGAATCCATCTGTAGTTCCAGCTGCTCACAACACTGGTGGTTCTCTGCCAGACCTGACTAACATCCAGTTCCCACCTCCGCTTTCCACTCCACTCGACCCTGAGGACACCGTGTCCTTCCCCTCGCTTAACTCCGCCAACAGCACGGGCAGCCTGACCACAAACCTCACCCACCTGGGCATCAGTGCTGCCAGCCATGGTAAAAACCAGTCTTTCATGTGTAAAAGTTGCAGCAGATTTAGTTTTATTCAGTAGAACAAGTAGTAGTAGAATTCAGTAGAACTTTTATCTGAGGCACAAATGATTACAAAATAAAATGTGTACAGCACAATATCAATATTCTCAAAATGTTATTAACAGGATACAATAAGATGCTGTCCTGCATTTTCTTTACTTTCTGAACACTCAGCTTTTCTGAGCTTCTGGTCAGTTCGGCCCGACAACATAAGTCACACGCTGCCCATCGTTTTAGAATCTGACTCACCGGATGTCATCTTCTGCTCTTGAGCTGACTCCGAAGGAAACTCTCCTCTTTGTTGACTTCCTGATTTTTATGTTATAATTTCTTCTTTACTACTGAAGGTAAGATTTTATGCTCCTGCTGGGTTAGGGCTCATGTGGGTTTCTTGTTTACAAGCGATGGTAGAAAGGAGCAGGAAATGGACCGACAAATTGAGCTATGGCGTGCACATAACAGACACATGCAGCAGATGGCTGAGCAAGCTATATACTGTAATTGAAACGCTGAAGACGTTTATATTTTGGATTTATGATAGCAAGGGTTCTGCTCTTTGGCATCGGCGGGGCTCTGTTTTATCAACTGGAAGAAGACATCGGCAGCAGTTTCGGCCATGGCAAAGCTTCCGAGTCTGTGTTTGTTACGTGCTATGAGGACTCAAAATCAGTTGATTAACGAGCTAAACTGTAAGATGGAGGCGATTTGTGAGAATAGCAGGCCACCTGTGGCTTCTAGGACTCAACAGCATGTGGGATCAACCTTGAGGAGGCTCATAAAATAAATCAGTGAAGTGGAATACCCATAAATCTGGTCATTTTGGACTGAGAAAGTTCCAGCAGGACTCAAGGCTGACAAGAAAAACAGTCTGCCTGAAGAAAATCAACAATTGTGACTTATCTGAATCTGACTCTCCCATTTGGCCTCGGATACGAGCCGACTATAAAATTTCTCCGGTTCTGCCGGTTGACCAACATCTCATCAGGACAATGGCCTGTCTATCTGAAAGTGCTCATGGACAAATCTCAACGTTTTGATGTCAAATGCATATGTAATGTGTTTATAAATGTGCTTTCCGGGAGAGATTTTTTGATGTCTCAAATCGTGTCCTGATTGGACAAGATGTGAAGAGATCTTTTTTTGAAATACCACTATCCACCCTCATGGTTTTTGCCTTTTTCTATCTAAAAGTATTCTGATAAAGAATAAGGGGCCACGCTATGATAGCAGCAGCAACGTGCACTCCGCCCATCTTTCAGACGACTGCACGAACATAATTTCACTGTATCCCGGTAAAATGATAATAAAGCTCATTCTGATTCTGAAAATAAATTAATTATTAGAAATTTTCTTCCATTAATATGTGGTTGCAATCGTTTGCTCATTATTTGTCTCCTATCTTTTACACCTCTGAGTAGAAGTTGATTCTGACTGACACAAGAAAATCAGTCATGTTTGTATTAATTTCTTCTCAGGGATCCCCACTTCCTCTCAGCCTACCATGACTGTAACGGCTCAGCGCAGACAGCCTCCTGTGGTACCGCTCACCCTCACCTCCGAACTCCACCTCCAACAGTCTCCACAGCAGCTCTCACCCACCCTCTCCTCACCCATTAACATCACACAGGTGAATATATGCCTGAAGGATCACTTTTTTTTTGTCCCGAGTTGCCTTCATCACAGTAAGAGATTCAGTTAAAATGTTGTTTTTTGAAAAATGAACACGTCTTACTAATTTGTGTGCATCGTTGTGCAGATTGTGCAAGCTGAGACGCTAACCCTGGAACAGCAGCTTGCCCAGTATCCCCTGTTCAACCACCTGACGCCTCAGGCCCAGGCACAGCTCCTGAGTGATCTTCAGAAGCAGCAGGCTCTCCCACAGGGCATTCAGCTTATTGCTTTGCCAACCCCGGCCTCATCTGGGACAGCCACAGCAAGCAGCCCGTCTCCAGACAGCCAGACCACCGCCAGCATGAGTATCAGCTCGGTATGAAAGTTGGAAATGAAGTTAATTAAATACTTGGAACCATTCTGCTTTTGAACCTCTGTGCATTTTACTTCTTTGTTTTGGAGATTGTTAGTAAAAGTGAATGATTATTAGTGCAAAGTTAACCCTCTTCCCTCCAACAGTACCGCAATCAGACTGGCTCACCAGCCACTCAGTCTCCAACCTCCCCAGTCTCCAATCAAGGATTCTCCCCAGGAGGCTCGCCTCAAGTAAGAGCCCACCCACTGACCTCACTGCTGTTCCAAGAGGGTCTTGGGTCCTGAGGGAATGCTAACTGTAGATAGTTAGACTCACTGAAATTGACACTGGACTTGCAACTGACGACACTAAGCGAGGTTTTTGTCAGCCATCTTGTGAAGATCTTTGTGTATCATTCTGTACTGTTTTTTCGTGGAAGCCGCACATTGTTAGTGCCTTATGCATGCTCTATGTATGTTGCGTCATCGGTTCTTAAGCACCTAGAAAAAATGTTTTTTTTAGTTTATTATAGTTTTTCTTTACTTCTGTCATCAGGCTGCCCATCATTCTCATCTATCCACAGTTATCCACTCATGGTGCCATCAGCTGCACTTTTCATTTCCTCATTAATGCTGTTACTGTTCACTGTGTGCATGGCTTGATGATGGAAGCTATGACTGTTTATGGGTTTTAAAATGTTAACTGGTTTGAGTTTACATTTGCTATTTACTCAACAACAAACATAACTTTCTCCTAAGAAGAGTTTTGTCACACGTTTAGTCGAAATATGGCATCAAATTATTAAATAATGACTCCACCACTTTATAATCATTCACACAGGGTTGATCGTGTTCAATTGTGCTTTTTTTTTTCCCACTGTAACAACATTATTAAGGGAAACACTTGGGCAGTAATTTGACATATGACTAATGCTGGCATTTTCCACCACCTCCGTTATTGACTTTCTCTGTTAAGTCTTGTTTACTTGAGAGGTGGTGAGTTAAGTGTTCTCATGATTATAACACAAACAGTAATGTAGAGTAACAAATCAGTTCCCCTGCAGTAAGCAAATTTGTTTCTTCATGTACAGAGCTGCTGTTGTCAAGAGTTTCTCTGCACCTCATGTTCATACTTTCACTTCATGTTGTTTTGTTGTTCTAATTTGGTTAAAAACATCAAAACCCTAATAAACAGTTTTTTTTTTCATAGATGGTCATTCATTTAAGATATTGTTTTTTATTAAGACCACAGCAGCAGCCCTGATTCTGAAAAGCCTTTGCTTTTAATTCATAGCTCTTTTATGTTTTAGTTTTTCTACTGCTAAAATGTTTGCTTCTAGACCTAAATGCTTTGCAGTTTTGATTTTTGTCACTATTTTTTTAATCCTTCAGCACATTCCTGTGGTGGGCAGCATTTTTGGTGACTCCTTTTATGATCAGCAGCTGGCATCGAGGCAGACCAACGCTCTTTCTCATCAGGTGACTACGCTAAAGCAATAAGGGCAAATATGTTTTCCTCCAATTGTTTCTGACTCTACCCCTTTGCATTTTTTTTTTCAGCTCGAGCAGTTCAACATGATCGAAAGTCCCATCAGCTCCTCCAGCCTGTACAACCAGTGCTCCACCCTCAACTACACACAGGCAGCCATGATGGGCCTCACTGGGAGCAGCCTACAGGACTCACAGCAGCTCAACTACAGCAACCATGGCAACATCCCAAACATCATCTTAACAGGTAGCTGCACCACCGGATCCTTTGGATGCACTGTCTTGGCATCTTCACACAACAGTCTTCTGGGTTTTTTTAAGCAGAATTTAACACGACTCCTCAGATGCACATTATATGTGCATATATATGCCTTTGTTTTATATTTGTTATTGAAGTATTCTTTGTCACAGGTCACATTGTGTCAAACTATGATAACTACAGATTGTAAAGGCCTACAATTCCACAAAAGAAATGCATATTTCTTGCCACCTTTCATGCCAGTGTTTTAGACTATGTTTTGAAAGGACGAAGTTATAGCCATATTAGTTAAAGCTTGAATATGAAGTTATGCAAAGTGTTCTGTGTAATGATCTCATATGATTTGCTAATGTTTGGAGTTTTTGTTGGGACTGACCCTCAGCTACCACCACACTAAGGTTTACAATATCTGTAAAAGTCACTGAGTTATAGTAATTTTTGTGTTGGCTAAGGTTGATTAGCTGTGGTGGTCATCTTAAATTGGGTTAGCTCTAATGTTAATTAGTTGAATGTCAACTAATGATTACTTTCTAAAAGTTTCACTAAACTTTGATCTCGTGAGATATTTTGCTAATGATAACAAATGAAAACTCATAGAGACAGGGGCAAAAAACATAAAAAAATATTGATGTGAACAAATAGATGATGATCTATTGATTTTGAGACACAAGAAGCATCAGTTTTATGCCAATTATTATTTTTTTAATTAAAATTGCATGTTTTTTTTTTCACCTTAGAGTAAGACTATGTGCTTTATTTCCTACAACTAAAAATGCATTTTATGAAGACTAAACTTTTCCCTATCCAAATTGTTCTCAGATACTATTTAAAACTAACATTACATCTTTATATATATTTTTAAAGGTACTGATCTGATTGTTGTTGGGCTTGCCTGAGTTTTAGTTTCTCAGATGTCACGTTCCTCAGTCACAGGTGAATCTCCGCCAAGTCTCTCCAAAGAGCTGACCAACTCTCTGGCCGGCGTTGGTGATGTCAGCTTTGACGCAGACTCTCAGTTTCCTCTTGACGAGTTGAAGATTGACCCGCTCACTCTGGATGGACTGCACATGCTCAACGACCCTGACATGGTGCTGACTGACCCTGCCACCGAGGACACGTTCAGGATGGACAGGCTGTAACGTGATGAGCTGACTGAGGTTCGGAGCAAAGTGAGAGGAAAGGGGGGAAAAAAAAACACTTAACTTGTGAATGAAGAGAAATAAAGGGCAGGATGAACCCTCTCCCTTGTTGCATGGCTGTCCAGGTGTTTGACCCTTCGAAATGAATCTCCACCGTAAAACGACGGGTGAAAAGACGTCCAGTGGCTCGCCATAGGATGACCTCGTTATCATTTTGAAGAAAAATGGTCGCTCAGCGCTTTCGCTAGCCTACTGTGTTTACAGTGTTCCATTACATGCCACATATATTTAAAAAAAACACATTTGATAGCTTTTTGCATATCCACATTTGTTTTATTCATATTTGCTTGTAGCAGAAAGCTGCTAAGACACTAAGTTTAATAATTTTTATGGCTATGTCTAAAAGAGGGAGAAAAAAACAACAGCCAGTTTACTCGCTACCCCGCAATGAAATTCCATCGCAGCGTAACAACTTTCTATTTCATGCTCAAAGCTTTATTTTTGACAACCAAATGTTATTTTCATCTTGTACTGTATGTTTTTATGCTACATCTATTTATATGTTTATTTATTTGGTTAAAGATTTTATATTTCATTTCATAACTTAAATTTTGATGCCAAAATGTCTGTAAGCCTAGTGTAAAATTTCACTGGTGTACTTGTGTTTATTATTACCAACATATTTATATGTGTTTTTGTAAGCTTTACTTGGTTAACGAAGGAGTGTAAAACGTCCCCATAGTTGCTCTTTGGTGTTAGATGTGCCATTCTCTGATGTTGATGTGCTGCAGCCTAATAGGCAAATCTAAATCTCAGTTTTTGGCACCACTTCAGAACAAGTTGCGTGCTCAAGTGGATCAACTTTATGCTACTGGAATTGACGCTTTCTGGGCAATCAGGTATTTTTATTTAACTAGGACACAAGAAAAGTTAATCTAAATTTACTTCAGATAACTGAAAGCCAAACGGCATATTTAAGTCTCCTTGTGAAGAAGGCATTTGCTTTTAAACCAGAAAACACTAAAATCTTAATGTTTTTTTTAGGTCGTCACTGTGAAATCACCTGATTTTGCCTTACAGTAACATTCTACTGTTCTAAGTGTTTGATGTAACAGCGTATTTTCCTAACTTTCTTGTATTTAAAAGAAAAGTTTAAGTCTCTGTGCTTCTGTTATGTAAGGTTTGACAAATCAATGTACTGTATTTTGTAGAGGTACAATTTATAGCCAAATTGTTGCTTTTTTTTGTTTGTTGTTGTTTTATTTTATTTTTTTACAAGGAGCAAAATGGTAAAATGGTTTTAAAGTATTTAAAGAGGGCAATTATGGGGAGGCTTTTTGCTCCTTTACAGGGAGTCTGACAAAAATGCAAGTGACCTTTGATGTATTGCTCATAAAATGAGCCATTGAAGGATCATTTGGTTCATTAGGGTGCAATCTTTAGACTTTAAAGAGTTTATTAAAAATATATGGTATAATATATGATATTTGAGAGAGTCTTTAAGCAAAAGTTCTCTTTAAGAAAAAAATACAAGTTTATTGTGTATTATGTGGGCTAAGATTTGCTGTTTGTTCAGTAGCACAGAAGCAGAAACGTTTAGTCTAAAATCACTGAGGCCATCTTACAACCCAAAACTGTTTACACACTATCGTCTTAACGACCTCTTTGTTGTTCAAATTTTAAAACTCGGATGAACTTCAGTAACTTTACAGTTTGTGCCAAAAAAAAATCTGCCTCTGCCTTTTTGTCAGTTTCCCTGAGAGGCTTGTGTTGATCTTCCCAATACTGTGGGATCATTTTTGGTATACTGTAATATTTGTGTGCACATGTACTACTGTTTTTACTCTGCTAAAGCGCTGATGGGAAAAGCCCTTCGAGACGGGGATCCAGTTTGGTTTTTACCTCTGCAGTGTTTGTGTTGAAGTGTTCACCGTTTGCTGCAAAAGCTTCATCAGCGGTTTTGTTTGCCTTCGACACACCTGTGGTTCCTATGCAAATGAGATGACAAAATAAAACAGAGAAAGATCCTTAAAGGAAAAATCCAACATTGTTCACAAAAATTGCTGGATTTATTCTTGTCAAACTGTTAAGAAACAAAGGTGTTTTATGGCTAAAACCTGCACGTTGCTCAGAAATGTAACCTCACTCGAGAAATACAAAAACAACCATTATGGGCTACGTTCCTTTTCATTTTGTGTGGAAGTTATCTCTGTAGTGTGCCACATTATTGCTTAACTACCTAGAGTCATTGTAGGAAATGTAAACTAGATGAAGTATAGCAGTGCAGGATATTGTGCGTTGTGGTGGCGATATGACAATCAGTGACTGAAATGGTTCTTTTTCTTTCCTGTTGGTGAAAAGAACTCCACAGATGAATCCAGCTATGCTTAGATGTTTGAGTTACTCCTTTTTTTTTTTGTCAAAATTTCCACTGCCTTTTAATTTAATTAATTATTAGTTTTAATGTCACTAATCCATCCCACAGAAAGCATTTCAAAACACTTAACGTGATTAAGATCAATGATGTCGAAGCCAATCAAAAATAGCCCAAAGTGTACGACACTTCACCGGTTACTGATTTCTCATCACTTTTGTTGGATTTTTTCTTTAAGTCTCTGAAAAATATCTGCAGATTTTTTTGTTTTGTTTACAATGTTTTTTTTTGTTGTTTTTTTTGGTTACCTAAGAGGAAGAAAAAACTGAGACAACATTGTTGTGTTCAGACTTCACAGTTGTGTTGCCAGAGGTTGGAGCTTTCCCGTCATTTCCCTTCTCTCATCCTGCTGAAGACGAGTTATTCAGACTTTGTACATACTATAGCTGAAACAAAATGCATGACTACGCTGACAGTCCAGACCTCCAAACGAAGGCCTTCTTTAACTCTGTGCAGGTTTGATTTGTGTAACATAACACTATCACCAAGTCTAAAGGGATGCATGTGTGGGTTTCTCCTGTGCAACAGTGAACTGTTAAGTGACTCTGTTACCTCCGTCTCTGTACAACGCTACTTCTCGAATGATAAAAGAATGTAATCCCTCCATCCTAGTTTTAGCCAAACGAGCCGAAGCTTGGCACATTTGGTCCTGTTACTGTTGGACCAAGCTTCCTCTCTTGGCTCTGCAGTCCCCACCCCACCCCTCTTCTGAAGAAACAGACTGTTGCTTGTTCCGCCTCCTCTTCCTACTGTAGCATCCCTGCGTATGATGGAAACCGTTTGATTTTCATAGACCCTGCAGTTGATTTGGTCCCTTCTCAGCCAGCTCATCCTGTTGGTGTCCTTGACATAATGGAAGGTCCTGTCTTGTAAAGGCTGCAGTTTGGCACGTGCACTGATAGTTTGCATTTGTGGACCCCTAAAGCCTCTGCATTATGCAGTCAACTGCATGACATGAAAGACATTAAACAGGTTCTTATCTCATGTTATGTACAGGATCTTGATCTTGCTATGCTCAAGTGGCGTGAGTTTTAAAACCAATGTGATTATTCTTATTTATTTCTGTTTTGCCTGTCAGGTTGTCATGTCAGGTTCTGGGTTGGGTAAAGTGAACTGCAATTATTTCCCCTGTTTTTGTGCAATGTTTAGTCCACTAGTTGCTTTGCACTTTAGTTGTGACTCCCTGGCGTTTGAGCGGGAGACGGTTCTGCCCGATGTGAATGCCGACTGTTTCACACCAGATATATTGTGATGTATACAAACAGATGGATTCTATATTTTCTTTTGTACACTAAACTGTGGCTTGTCTTTATGTTCGTTTTCAAATGTGTTCAGATTTTAGAAGATGCAAAATTAGAAAGGGCTTACTCCAGTGCAACTTGGGTTCTTGTGTCTGAAGGGAACGGAGAGCATCACTGTTTCTGTTCCCACAGTTCTAAGTTCTCCAGTACAAAGACTTATGTTCAGGAGGAAGTATGTTTCTCTGATTCATAAAATATGATTTCACAGCAGTGCATGCAGATCACAACTAGTATGCAAGATGTCTGAGACATGTTACCAATGCTGAAAAATGTCTTATTTGATCAAATCTTAAACATTTAACCAGATTTGCTTCTTTTCTACTCATTTCTTTTCCCTCAATCTTTAAGTAATGATTAAAAAAAAATACTCCAAGAAAAAAAAGGGTTATTAAGTAATTTTTCTGTTTTTTTTTTCTATTGGGTAATACATACATTACCCAATAGACGCATGGCCCGTGCTCAATATACCGTAGTTCAACTGATTTAAAACACATTTTTCAAAAAGATGAGGTTGTGCATCTTAATTTTGTGGGTTAAGGGATGAAGAATAAAAAAATCTGTGCAATCTAAAAAAAAAAAAAACATCTGGGTACATAACATGGACAACATACATCTGGACACCCCACAAGTTAAGCATTTAAAGTTTTTCATATCTTTTGCATTGCTAAAATGTCTCAGAAACAGGTTGAAATGAAAAAGGCAAGTCTTTTTCTCTTCTTTATATATTATACATTAACATCAATGCAAATTCAAACTACCATGATATAACTTTGGGTCTTTTTACTGCGGAATATTAAGTTCACACATGTTCTGCAGGCCTTGTTGGAGGCTGCAGCTTCATCCATAAAAACAAACAAAAATGTTTTTTTATTATTATTTTAGTTTAAACTAATTTCACTTTAACTGTCCTGTTGGAATCTGTGTGTGATGATGATTATTATTTTTATAACCATCATTTGTATTAAACGGGGACCTCAGGGTGGTGGGAGGATCGATGCACACAAATGCTCCAAATATCTACATGAAAGTCTCGCAGAGTTTAAATCAGTCGATTCGCTCCAACAGGCTGCAGTAAATTCCTTTAACCTCAGAATCCCTGAAAAAAGCAGTTTGAATGATGCGCTTATCGTCCTGTAAGGCTCTGCAACAAAGTCTCACTTCACAAAAGACAGCCAAGGCTTCTCTTAACGTCAGGTTACTCTCGTTATTTCTTTTTTATTTTTTTAATCCAAATCCCCTTTAACCATCTAAAACTTGCAGATTTGATAGATAAAACTTGCTGGAGATGCTGACGTGCTTTTCAATAGAAATGATTAGGAATTAGATATGCTGACAGCAAATGTTACACTGGAAAACACTTTATATCAGTTTAGGCAGCTAATTAATCTTTCCTTAAATTAAAATAAACACATTTAAAGAGAACATGGATGCTTTGTATACATACATACTTATATACATGTGAGTATGATTTGTGTATCGGAGTTGGGGTTTATTTATTACATGACGAAATGTGGAAAGTAAAGTCCAGCTGATGGTTTTGTTTTTTTACTGCACAAATTAATTTGGACTTGTCAGATTTTGTGAAACCAAGACCTCAGTTACTGACTTATCACTTCTCAAGCTTAAGGAGAAACCGAAGTTGTGTGTTTGAGGATTTGTAGGTGTTTAAATATGTCCCTTTAATAACAAATGACTACATTTCATTTAAACCTATGAAAAGCTCTGGAATTACAGTTTATGTTCCACTTAAAGCTTCTAGTGAGAATAGCATTATATCACTGTTGTCCTGTAAGTCGTAGTAAGAGACCTGTAGTATTTCTTTGTTGCCATGTGATTCTCTTTATGTGACCATTTGTTTATAAAATGAAAGAAAACCATCAATTAAACTGAATGTGGAAGACAAATTTTTCTCTGCATAAAGTCTTGATTTGCAGAAAATACTGATTAAAAAAAAAAAAAGTCCAATGTCCTTTCACAACATCGCAGCGTGTTGCTGTAGACATGCATGATGTTTCGATCCTGTTGTAAAATGTCTTTGCTATCGTTTCTATTTTGTAATCTGTATTTCCAAATGCAAATTTAAAAGATTATTTTGGATATGTGCATGCTTGTGAAATGTTCAGAATGTTGATTTCCACTAAAAGATGTTGAGTTAAAAAAAAAAAGCCATGTCTTTTACTTTAATTTAGCTCGTGTGCAAAACTGGACACCTTGTTGAAACTTGCTGCCACCTTCAGAAAATTGGAAAGCAAAAGATGACCCTAACCTAAAAAAAACCCCAGTAAATTAATGTTTTTTTAAATAACTACATAACCAAAATTACTTTTTTCTTGTTTGAAAATAAAACTAAAAGGGTCCGATGTTTTTGAAAGTCTTTTGTTAGAAGCTTACAAACTGTAAAAGTCTATTTTTAAGGGAAAAAACATTTTGTTGCAGTGAAGTTTAGTAGATGAAAACTGTTATCACTTTAGTACATTGTCCAGCAAGGTGATGGGCAACGTGTGCAGCAATTAATCAGCCTCAAAGTCAATATGGTTTCTAAGCTTTTAATAGTATCACCACAAATATGACAATAAAATGTCAATAAAAACTATCAGATATTGAGCACAAACAAGGAACAAGCCTGACCCTGCTGTTGTTTAAGAAGTTATGATTCCATAAATGTCTTGAGAACATCACATCATACACTCCTGTCTAAGCTCTCCCTTTGCCCCACAACAACACAATTCATGTTTTTGCACATTTTCATTCTATCACAGATGCTTCCCTACTTCCACTTGGTTGAACCATTCAGTCCAGTTTCCACCAGGGTTTTAAAATGTTTTAAGTTACATTTTTGTTTTGAGTCGTTATGGGAAACAAACATAATTTGCTTGTTTATGCTATTTCTTTCCATCACAGTTCATCTTACCATGGTTCATTAGTTATATAGTTACTTTAAAGATTTGACACCAAAGTTTCTTCTGAGCTCCACAGAGAGCCGTTATGTTCAAGACATTTTTGACAACTTTTATTACAAACTCCTCACAGGAAAAGGAAAAACAAGTCATTTAAAGTCTCTTTTAATTTAAATCCCTGCCTAATTTCTAATTTAATGTCTGCTGGCTCCTTTGATTGCCGTAATAAGGCCGTCTAAAAACAAAAGGCTCCCTGGTCCAGACCATTTCATAGTTTGAACCAGAATTGTGTTGGATTTTCTTGAGTCCAAACAGACGAAACAAATACACTATACACCGTAGGTGCATAAAAATGTGCAACATTTGGCTATAAATGTTAAAAGACTTAAGCCTCGGGTGTTGCAGTCACAGTTCAGTCACTTCAGGTGAGCATCGAGCTCTCTGCATCTTCCTAGATGGATTTTGTGTTTGGCTTATAAAATACAGCAATAGTGTTTGGCTCTTCCTGAAACCAGAGTTTGTTTCATTGATCTCATTCAGACTGTGTGATTTTTGTCAAGACCAAGCTGCAAATCAGTTCTATCGAAATCACCTTTGAAGCTGCAGCAAACACAGCTCTGAGTACCGTATTTTTCAGACTATAAGGTGCACCAGATTATAAGGTGCATTAAAACATTTTGACAGCTTTTTGAGCGTCGTGTACCACATAAAATCGGTTCGAAGTCCGTAAGCACAACCAGAATTAATGCATAAGGCGCTCCTGATTATAAGGCTCACTGTTGATTTTTGAAAAAAATAAAGGATTTTAAGTGCGCCTTATAGTCCGAAAAATACGGTAGATATGAAGTGAATGAATGGGCTGAAGAAAAATGAGGGGAAATCCATCATTTATGGTGTTGCTGAGCTGCTGATCCTCACTTCAGATGCTGAACACTCCCAGGATGACAAAATGTGGTTTGTCTGCAGGTGAGTGTTGATTCAGAAGAGATTTGGGGATAGCTGGGTTCTCTATAATTGTTTGTGCCAAATCTTACCATTCAATAACAGCTCTCGGGTGTGAGGCCTGTCACAAGATTAAATGTGTTCTGTAAAGAAGAGAAAATGATGAGGTTGGCAACAAGTGGTAAACTTCCAGCTTTATCTCAAGCCAGTCTGAGGAAAGACGGCGCCCCATCACACCAACCGGCATGGGCACGATGCCCCCATATTAATTGGAGCTAAATCACTAGTAATGTAATACAGTACTTATTTCTGGAAAACCCAGAATTGCTCAGTTTATGATGTACATAAATACTGCTACTTTAATTAAAATCAAAAGTATATCAGAATGTGACAAAACATAAATGTGTGTCACAATTACTTTATTCTGAATTTACTATGTGTTATGTTCATTGGTAAACTTGGTGTTATTTTATTTATTATTTTTTTCTGGATTTTAAATGTACCAAGGCAGGTCAATGAGCATATGGGTGTCATATTGCTTTTTTCTTATTTTTCCCGATTTCATTGATTGACTCTTTTTGTATTGCAGGTGGAGCAGTACCAGATAGTTTGTTGAGTAGGGGGAATGGTCCCTGTTATGATGTGGCAGGCTTCATCTTTTTAGCATGAGTGGATCTGCACCAAATGAGAGCACAGTATTCAGCTGTGGAGTAGCAGAAAGCTAAAACAGCTGTTCTTGTGGTCTTTGCCTCATTTAGTGTTAGCTAGCTAGGATAGTCACATGAAGGTAGTTAATTTCTAATTGTATCTAGAGGTTAAAATAGCCTTGAAGAAACTCTGTGAGCCGTTCTTGCTTTTTTCCCCCTGTACATCACTGAATGTTATGAGTCAAAATGTGATTAAAACAGTAAAATTACCATGCATTTTGAAATATTAATTTAGTTTTTTTTCAGTTTGTTTTTAAACAGCATGCATTATGAAGACTAGTTCATGCTTTATTCACAGTATCATATATATTTACCAACATTATGCACGCAAATGTTTACAGTCATAGTCAATTTTTTTTTGTATTTTTTTTTATTTTTGACAAAAACACAGCAATTCTTTTAGAAATTAACCATAATCAACAAAGCAGTTCTAAATGTTGTCATTTTACAGAAGATAAAATCCAACATTTTTGCATCGTACGGCTAAAGACTAACCAGAAAATTAACTTCTGATATTGGGCCTTTATTTTGGAACATGAGCAGTTGTGGATTTTATTTGAAGCTGTTTTTACTCAGCTTTACCAGACAGTTCAGTTTTTGTACAAGGTAATGTTAGCGATGCATTTAAAGAAAGAAATTTGAGTTAAGTAACAAAATATGTGACAGTGTTGTTGGTCTCCTGTTGAAGGTTTTTGCTGCTGTGCTCCTGCGCTTCATGTCTGATGGAGCTTTGATGATGTTCAGTCTGGGCTCTGGTTGTGTGCTGGATCATGCTTTCTTTGGGTTTGTTTGCTGTCGTCAGGCCACCAGCTGGACCTGCTTGGATTGGTAGGTGTCAAAGTCCTCAGGAAGAGTGTCTATGAAAAGAAATAATAATAAAAAAAGAAACATTTAAAAATGTTTTAGACTTTTATTTATTGCTGTTTTTGAATTTTAAAGCATCAGTTTTTCAATATGCAAAACATTAGCTCTACATAAGTTTAATCCTAAACTTAATAAAATGTACTTTAAATCTTTTTAAGTACAGTAACTTAAACTTTCTTTTACCTTATTATATTTATTATATATAACAGCTTACACAATTTAAACATGAACTAAATAAACATTTAAATTGCCCAGACAGACTTATGCAGAACATGTTCTGAGCAGAAAAAACGTGTTTACTAAATATTTTTTTTTAATTTGAACTATGCTGTAGCAAAGTTTTCTCTCAGCAGCTTTTTGAGGAGTCGGCTCACCGTTGCAGCGGTAACGCAGGTTGGCCCAGATGATGTTCTCCTGGGAGAAGCAGAAGACTCCGAGCCGGCCTCCTCTCATCGTGGTGTCGATGACGACACCTGTGTCCGCCACCATCTGACGACCCTCAAAGAAACGAACTCTGCACGGCAGAAGACAGCAAGAATTAAACATATTTTCAGCCATTGTGAACTAAAACAAACTCTAGCAGATGGATCAGATTTAATTAATTTATTAGTTCTTTGCTGGCTTTTTTAATGCGATCATCTATCAATTGTGTTGTTTTGGTTTAAATGCTTTGGTCTATTCCATGTTTTAGTTAAACTTCTTACACACCTGGTTTGAGTTATTAATAAAACTTTGTTATAATTATATTACTTACTGCATCACTAGTATTTCCAGGACTTTAGACATTTTTGTAAGAGCCCCATCCGTTTTGTTCCTCTGAATCAGATTTTTATGATTTCTAAATTTTATTATACAGCAGTAGATTTTGGATTCCTATTTTTAGCTTCTGATTATTTTTATACACCAGTCAAAGGTGGCTGTATTATGGTATAGTCTCCATCTGTCAACTTTATATTGTCCCTTCCATAACTTATGATCTGCTCAAGTTAATTTATCATAACTTCACACACATATCATCACTAGACAGGGTGTCACATACACTTTTCATCACCCCAGCTTTAAAGTAAAGGTCAGCTGCTGCTATACATGGTCTTTCCTTGTCCGAGCCATTGCTATAATTTTCAATGGGCCTATTATGTGTTGTATGCAGTACTCCTGTTTCCATGAATTTTTATTTTTTTTATCATCATTGTAATGCCCATGTGGGTTCTTCTCTTGGAAAACCACAGCTGTCACATAAATGCAAAGACTTGTTAGACTTAATCTGCACTACCATCTTGCTCTATAAATCATGCTCTTGCTGTAAACAAACAAACAAAAAATTGGCACCACAAAAAAAACGTTGAGACTTAAATTGCAGAGCACTACTAAAAAAAATGCTAGAACAATAAAGGAAGTAACAAAATATTAGCTCATTCTCTAAATTAAACAGTCGGAGACACATTCAGAGAGAAAGCTCCTGCAAATAAAATAAGTGAAATAATAAAAGATTGCTTGTAGGTTCAAGTTCATCTCCCCTGTCAAAATTACCAGGTGAAAGGATTTGACATCAGTTCAGAGGGCTTTGGTGAATAAATGGTAATGGAGAGCATCACTTGTAAAAAGCTCCACAGGTACCAAGTTATGAGGTGTTTGAGAGCAGAACATTTTGTTTCTCTGTAAATGATCCAAATCACCAAAGGAAGTCAGGGCTTCACTGCAATAATCAGTGTCAACCAAGGAAACGCTGCCATAGTCATCCCCATATAAAGACCTAAGGTCAACATCAGCCATCTATCTAATTTGCTTTTGCAGCAAATTCTGAGAGGAAAAAAAAAGCAGAACATTAAAAACTGAAAGATTCATGAAGAAGAACTGCTGAGTGGTTGAAATGAATCATCTAATTTATTTTCAAAGATATTCTGGATTTATCAAAGTAATGTTTCCCCTTTGAAGCAAAAATCTACTGTAACTCAAAAATACTGAACCAAAGTTAATCTAGTTTAGTTTGCAGCAGTTCTGATAGATCCACTGAGCTCTATGGCCTTTTGCTCCGTCAGTACCTGATGTAGCCATCAGCGGGTCGGTGCTGCAGGAACCATCGATATGAGGTCTTGTGTTTCCAGCCAACGTTGCGAGGGTCCTTCCACAGAAGTTTGATCTGCTCACTGGTGTCCCCAGTGTGCCACAGAGCGTTCCTCAGAGTCTCACCGGGACCGGTGATTGACTTCACCGCCTGGTCAAAAACAGCAAATACAGTCTAAGACTCTGGACTGTGTTAGTTAGCAAGTCATTGAAACTTGTTACAAAGAGCACTTTTTCTGTTTGAGTTTCTTTTTTTCTCTTGCAGTGTTTTTAGAAAAATTTTCTGTGGGTGGTACTAACTACACCAAACAGAAGAAAAGGAGCCAGAAATATATACTTTTCTTGCCTATACTTTTTTAAATGCCTTCCAAATAACTGTGCATTAAAAGAAGATTCAATTCAATTCAATTTAGTTATAGCGCCAAGTCACAGCAGAAGTCATCTCAGGGCACTGAACAGAAACATCCATATAAATATAAAAATAAATAATTGAACAAGAAGAGCAGTCACTTTTTGACTAATAATATAATAATAGCAATAGAAAGTATAAAAGCCATTTTTTCTTGATAAAATTTTGAGGTAAACTTCTCTAGCAAACTGAAAAACTGATCTTGAAAAACAACACCTTTTTTTTAAGGTATTTAAATAGACTTTTGGAGTTCAGTGCTTGTTTAATAATGTTCATTTAACATGTTTTCATGTTAGTGAATAATCTTTATTTTTGGCCCAGCAGTACCTTTAGTTGGATTCCTTGTTGAGCCACAGCTCTGAAGGGGATGGCCTGCCAGTAGATCTGCTCCACCTGCTTCCACATCACCACGTAAAAACTGGAGCTGTCCTGGTACCCGAATATGAAACCAACATAGTCGTCGTCCGTTTTCGTATTTACATGAAATGTCCCCTCAAAGTCCACGCCGCTGAACGCAGTATAACCTACAGGACAGATGAAAGATCAGACAATCAAAGAAACAGAAACTTTAAATGTTGTTTCAGCCTCTTTGATATTCTGTGTATTGGGCTGGTGTGAGAAAATTTAGAAAATGACCCATATTTACTATTCAAGAACAGTTTTTAACTTTTGCCATCTGGCCACATGGTTTACTTACATTCAAATCCCATCTCATGGTCTGCTCATATGTTTATTTACAAACAAAATATATTTTATCATCTCATATTTCTTTCCATCTAATGTGAACGTGAGAATCTCCAACTAAATAAAGGTACTCACAGCAAACTATAACATAATTCAAAAAGTTATCCTAAACTACATAAAAGGAGCAACCTGAAAGATTTTTTATTGGTAGATTAAAGATATGTTCTTAAGAATTTTTGAAATGCAGATATGCACTCGTACCCAAAGCACTCGGATGGATCTTGAATCTGAAGCTTAAGTCATGCAATTGACCAACATTAGACTGGTTAAAGTCTGCAAACAAATATGGTGGAATCAAACAAACGTAGAATCTTGAAGATGTTTAGGTGGAAACATAATAATAATTTTTTTCTAGAATTGCGCTACTCGGGGTGGCTGCATGTTGGAGTAGCTCTGTTACTTTCATTCTGAGTTATTGCTTTTGAAAACTTTAATTTCTCTTTTTTTCTGGATGTAAATCACTTTTTTCAGATGATTGTTTACTCTGGTATTGGATGCTGTGCAGCTGGAAGGATTTTTACTGAAACATTTTTACTTTTGGACATTTGTTATGATGTGTAACCATGGCAACAAGGTGTTTTGTAAACAACCAGGAGCAGCTGATTAACATCTCAAAGCTCAAATAATATCTCAACTACAGCCCCAAATCCCAAATGAGTTGAAAAGGAGGCGCCGTGGACAAATTTCCGTCAACTTGTTGGTGGTGCTCGAGTACTTGACCGCCGAGATCCTTGATCTGGTGGGGAAACTCTGCTTGTGACAACGGGAGGACCAATATCATCTCCTGGCACCTTCAGCTGTCTGTCTGTGGTGACGAGGAGCTTGGCAGACTGCTGGGAGGAGTGACCATTGCTCAGGGAGGAATACTGCCCAGCATTCAGGCAGTCCTGCCTCCCAGGAGGACCAAGAAACCTGCCAGATCTGACAGCAAGCTGGATCCGTGTGGACGGATCAGCATCTGTGGCCAGATTCTTCAGATTCACTGCAGGAGATCCTTCCTGTCCACAGCTATCAGCATCTATAACAACTCTTGAATGAAACCAGGATGATGAGCTACAACTAAACTTAATTTCCCTTTGGGATTAATAAAGTATTTTTGAATTGTATTGAATAAGAGTAGATCTGCTGCTTAAAGAGATCAGGTAAAAGGTCAATAATAAATACTGAGGATCAAGCAGAATGGAGCAGCACAGAAAATACAGATGTTGGCACTCAAACACACGCAGCTTTACCAAAACCTCTGCCAGACCAGCAAGTTTTCAGCTTAGCACATATCTTTTATTTGCAGACTTTACTCAACAAATCTGAGAATAAAATGTACCAAAACATATTGGATGTCTTGATCTAAACAGCTATTTCATGGACTTTCATCGTTGTTTAACTTTTTTAGTCACTTCGGCCGATTTCTTAGAACTCAACTACAAATGCATGTGGTAGTTGGCAGCCATTCACAAATTTTGTTTGCCAATGTTTATTTTAAGGATGTAGTAACCATTGATATAAGAAAAATTGCGCTGTGCAGAATTTGTTACTTACTTGATTTCCTATTTTGTCTGGTTTTTATAATGTTACAATAAGTACCTTGAGTCAGCTTTAGCTACAAATGCTAATGGTAACCTTTTTAAAATCTTATGTCATGTGTTTCCTTTGCAGGTGGTAAACATTATAAACATGTAGTTCTATATACATCTGTTTATGATAGTATCCTTCAGGTATGTCTTGGCTGAAGTCTCCAGGGTTTCAATACATTTCTTACCAACAGCCAAACCAGGATCACTGTTCATAGTCTGGACAATTTCTCTGCCCTGAACAAACAAAACAAGGGATTTTAAATAAACATTGTATTTTGTGACATAAATGAAACACACACAAAAAAAATAATAATAAAGGGTCTTTCAACCTGGTTCAGCACCACCCAGTTGGGGTCTGTCTGTATTTCTCCTTCAGGGTCTAAAACAACCGTCTGGTACTCCCTGAAGTCAGTGAGAGTAACCTCAGCGTTTTCCGGACAAGCGTCAATGGGATCAATTATTGTGTCGTTGTCAAAATCCTTCTGACACACGTCACCAACACCATCACCTGTTCGGAGGGAGAGGTAAAGCTTTTACTGAGTAAAAGACAAAGTTCCCATCAGCTTGAATATGTCATAAGTGCTATCCACCATCCAAGTCCTCCTGCAGTGGGTTGGGGATCAGACGGCAGTTGTCAGGACCAGGAGGAAGCAGATCGGGGATACCATCGTCATCGTCGTCATCATCACACTCGTCTCCCTTTCCATCCTTGTCGGTGTCCAGTTGAGAGCTGTTGATGACGGCTGGGCAATTGTCCCGGGAGTCTTGGTGGCCGTCGCCATCACTGAAGATTGTATAGATTTTTAATAAAGGAGCATTACAGATGAACGTTAAAGAGACTCAAGAGGTCGCACAATCTACCTGTCCTTGTTGGTGTCACATGGGTCTCCAATCAGGTCATTGTCTGCATCCATCTGAAAAACAAGACTTGAGCTGTTAACACAATGCTATTCTAGGAAGGGATGGGCAGGAATCCCCCAAAGGGTCATTTTGACTGAGTCAAAGAAGTCTAAGAGCTACACCCCGACTGAAACACAGACATGCTAATTTACCATAAACAGAATTATATCTTCCTTAAATATTGCACAGTTAAAAGTTTTAATTATTTGTGTCTGAATCATTGATGTCAGACTAATATTCAATCAAGTAGATGTGTTCGAAAACACTTCAGTCCGCCACTAACAAAAACGTAGCACGCTTGGTCAAAACACTTCCACGTTTTCTTGGTATATGACCACACCTGTCTGTAAACTGGTATTTGTGACAATAAAGCTATGATAGGTCTAATTTTATGTGACATCAAGATTTATTAATAAGTTGTTTTCATTGATTCATTTGAAAATGTTTTGGTTTCCTTTGAGGATGTTCGGGGGACATGTAGAGTTATTCCTGGTCTCAGGGCTTGATATCGATCATTTATGAAAGACATCAGAATAAAGCTGCCAGCAGAGCAACAACTTGAAGAACAATGACGATGGTCAGAGTCAAAATGAGCCAAATTGTATCGACTCATTGTCTTTTCTTTCTCCTATGCTTCACTCTTTGGATCTATGGTTCTGATGTAGCAACCTCCATGAGGAAAACCTCCTGGACGTTAACAGGAGCAGAGTTCTGTCTTTATGTGAAAATGGTGTTTGTGAAAAGAAAAGGAACCCATTTTTCACCTGGTCAGGGTTGGAGACATAAGGACAGCTGTCACAGGCGTCTCCCACTTTGTCTCCGTCTCGATCTTTCTGGTCAACGTTGGGAACCTTCTTGCAGTTGTCCAGGTGGTTGGGAATTCCTGACATAAGAGAATTATGATTTTAAATATTAGAATAAATTTTATGATAAAGCCTAATGATTTAAAAATAATTAACGCAAAGTACTTCATGGTTCTTTCTTAAACTACCATCCATCCATCCATTATCTTTTACCCGCTTCTTCCATTTTGGGTCACGGAGGTCGCCGGTGCCCACGTCCAGCAATCACTGTGTGAGGGGCGGGGTACACCCTGGACGGGTCGTAAGTCCATCACAGGGCCACATAGAGACAAACGAGACAAACAACCATTCACTCTCTCACTCACACCTAGGTACAATTTAGAGTTACCAATCAGCCTAACATGCATGTTTTTGGCCTGTGGGAGGAAACTGGAGTACCTGGAGAAAACCCACGCATGCACGGAGAGAACATGCAAACTCCACCCAGAAAGGCCCCTGCACCGGGATTTGAACCAAGGACCTGCTTGCTGGGAGGCAGCAGGAGGCAGCAGCTCTACCAGTTGCGCCACCGTGCTGCCTTCTTAAACTACCATTTTATTTATATTTAAATAGTTTAATTACATTATAAGCTGTTCAGACATATTCATAAAAATCTACTATAGACCTCTAAAAAAGTTAAATCTGGTCCTCTGGACATTCAAAAAACAAAACAACAACAAAAAAATGTAGAAATGTTTCGTCTTTCATCCGAAAGACGATGCGTTTCTACATTTTTGTTGTTGTTGTTGTTTTGCTTTTTTTTTTTTTGAATGTCCAGAAGACCAGATTTAATTTTTTTAGATTTTTCTACCTGGATTATAAAGCATGTATCAGGCTACTATAGACCTGATTAGTTACTTTGTAAAAGGTTTTATTCTGTTATTAAACTTTATATATTGAAGTGGATTCTCACCATCTCCATCTATATCGTCATCACACTTATCACCGTATTTGTCCATGTCTGTGTCTTTTTGGTCGCTGTTTTCGACCACAGGGCAGTTATCACAGGCGTCCCCGAAATCATCCTCATCAGTGTTTCTCTGGTCCACATTGGGCACCAGCTTACAGTTATCCTGTGCAGAGTGGGTTTTATTCTCTGTTAATGAACTCTTATGGAAAAACATGAACGTGAGTGTGTCTGTGGATGAACCTGTATGTCAGGGATCCCATCGCCGTCTGCGTCATCATCACAGGCGTCCCCAATTCCGTCACCATCAGTATCCTCTTGACCAGAGTTGGGTACAGTGAGACAGTTATCCTGCAACAACAAACTTCTTGTTAAAGTTTATGAACCCCACACCTTCAATACTCCTTAAAAAAAGACAGCTGAATTTTTTTTTTAGGCTGTTGTCTACTGCAGGTAAGATACTGACCACTAATATTTCAAAGGCACACCCTTCAAAACATCTGAAATCTCTCTTTTAAATATTTGCACCTGAATAAATTGTGTCTATTTCTGCAGACAATAATTAAAGTCACCTTGTTGCAGTTTCTGTCAGAACAGTTCAGCTTCTCGTCGGGGAAACTGTCAATGTCTACGTCAGAACCACAGAGGTAGCCGTTACCAGCCCATCCCACTCCACACTGAGGATGAAAAATGATTTGCAAACTGTTTTTATTCACCATGGTATGTTACATTACCACCATCAGTGATAAAACATATTTAGACTGTATCACCTGACACTCGATTGTGCCGTCACGATGAACGATGCATTCTGCACTGGCGTGGCATGGATTGGGTTGACCATTCCCACAAGCCCTCTCAGGTCTACAGCCACTCGTTTGATCCCCAACATAACCTGTTTTACAGGGACCACACCGGAACGAGCCCTGAGCACACACACAAATCACATCAGCCTACTTCCAATAAAGTCTTTCATGCAGCATTACGTTAAAAACAGCTGTAAATGAAGAACATTTAGCAAATATAGTATTTCTATTACTCTTTTCTCAGGCTAACCGTTTTTGTTTGCTAAAATAGCGTTGCTGTGGTGGCCATTTTTAAATTACTTGACTTCAAAAAGTGATCAGTTGTAGATGTCAACTTAAAAAACTCATTAAAACCCATTTAGTGATTTAACTTTAACAACTTTAACAGCTTTTGTTTTTTTTATTTGTGCGTTTGCTAACAAACACACACACAAACAGACTTCGGCAAAAACGTTATTGCTCTCTGCCTTTGCCTTTGTGTGTCTTTACAGATTTCTTTAATCAACTTTTCTTTAAATTTGTAGTTTGAAAAGGGCTAATTAGCCACAAATGCAGATGAACATATTCTGTGATATATTCATAAATTAAACGGATTCATTCATTTTTCTGGACTGAATAATATCGTGCATTGAATAATTAAAAATGTAACGTGAGACGTTAATTTTCTTTGACCCATCAAAATGAACGTGGTCATTTATTTTCAGAATCAAAATTTAACATCAAACATTTACATTAATTTGGCAAAATTGAAAATAACAACAGGTTAATTAATCAGTTTACAATTAGAAGACCATACGGCGATGGTTGAAAACCTTGCTTCACAACAGACATTTCTGAAAATATCTGGAATGATTTCTAGCAGGATAGAAGAGTTTAAAGATGGAAATTGAAGTTTAAGTTGAGAGAGATGGGTGAGGGAATTTGTCTGTTATAACCAGAACAACACGCTCCTTCTGGACCCAGCTTACCCAACGGTACGCTTTGCGGTTGAAGATCGACTTTTTACCTTTCTGAAGATATGTCAGTTCCGGCGTAAAGTTCCACTTCAAGCCACTTTTCAGCGTCTCCGTAAGAATAGCAAAAACCGTTCGGAGTCGTGAGATCATCCTAGAACAGACTTCTTCATAATTCCTCTGAACTTCTCTTGTTCAGCTTAGTCGCAGATGTCCTGAGCATTCTGAACTCTGCTGCTCTCGGAACCAACTCACAGCATTCTCTCAGCGTTCTCCTGAGCGTTCTTCCCAGAACTACTCAGAACTTCTCAGAACTTCAGAACTTCTGTGAACTAGGAAGTGTTGCACCTTTTAAAAGAGGTCACTTCCGGTTCATTTGAGAACTTTCTGATTGGTCGATGACCAGACAGAGGTGTGTTTTTGTGATGTAAGAGGTTATTAAAAGTCAAGGAAAAAAGATTAAGTTTGTTTAAGAACAGACAGAAAATGTTTTTGAAGATTCCAGACTTCGTGGAGTCAACTCTCTAGTATCTTTCTGTAAAAGTTAAACATGACATTTCTTTTCAGTAAACTTGCAGTTGACCGAAACTTGACCTTTGACCGACTTACACAACTTGCTCATTTCAGACAGAAGATCAAGAAGATGAATC